AGTGGATTTGGCTATACACATGGCTTCCACATTTCATAGGTATTCAAATTTCTTTTGGCAAAACCTTTTAATGGGTACCACCAATTTTGACCTCTTGATCTCTTGACCTTGGAGTTTGACCCACTTTCACAAGAAAAATACCTTAAACTTGGCCTAAGTTTTGAATAGTTGGTGCTAGGACTTTCATGCTTAACATGTGTAATCATTGTGAACTTTAAACAGGTATAAATATTTTTAACCTTGACCCTAGAGTTGAAAACCCAATTAATTTTAACCTTGGCAATAACTTTTGAACAGGTGAGGAAGTACTAGGGATTTCTCTCTTACTTCACATGTGTATTCCTTGTGACAAGACTTTCCCTTTGATACCAACAGCTTTGAGCCTTTGACCTTGACCTTGGAGTTTGACTTACATTTGAGAAACTTCAACCTTTGCCAAAAGCTGCCATAACAGTTGTTGTCACAACAAACAAACAAATTACTAAGAAAAACACAGTATACAGGCACATATTTTATATTCAACAGATATACTTCTGGTCATATCTCTAGTTCTCCCTTCAATCAGACATGGTGATATAAATATTTTAAAAATAATTATTATAAGAGTTGAAAAACTTGTGCATAATAAAATATACTAAGCTCTGCGGATGAATTAGATATACCAGTTTAGCTTTATTTTGCTACCCAAAGCACCTTGATTAACTATTTACAAGCGTGCTGTTTTCTGAAATGTACAGTTTTCTGTCGTCCATCTGTTTGTCTGCAAACTTTTCACATTCTTAACGTCTTAAGAACCACTGGGCCAATTTCAACCAATTTACATGTAAATATGCAGGGGACTTTTTCCAACATAAATCTTCTTCTCAAGAACAGCAAGGACATTTATTGTCCCCCATTTTCGCTAAAGGTAGGGGACATTAAATCTCATTTGTTTGTCAGTCTGTCCATCTGTCACAATAAATTTAACCTTTGTCATCATGGTCATATATTTTGAATGAGAAGAGACAGGACTTCTATATTAAACATGTGTATTAGTATTTAACAGGGACAATACCATTCTGAATACACTATGATTTTTATTACCCATGACCTTGAAGTTTGACCTACTGTCATAAACAAATTAATTGTTTTAAATTGATCATTTTGAAAGATAAATGAAAGGGCATTCATATTATACATGCATGTATATTACCTGTGACCTTTCCAAATGTATCATGACTTTTTGACTCTGTGACCTTGACCTTGAAGTTTAACTTACTTTTCAATAATGTTGTATTTCCTTTTGATTGAGAAGAGATACGACTTTCACATTTCACGTGTACATTACCCATAACAAGATATTTCCCAACATGCTATGATTTTTTACCCCTTGACCTTGATGTTTTACCAAAATTTCAAAAGAGTGAACTCTCCTAAAAGAGGATTAGGCCACTGTGTAAAATGAAGTAGGAGTTTAGGGAAGACGGGGCTTTTTGCATAAATTACGTCAGTTTTCGACCCTCATTTGACCCCCCGGGGCAAAATCAAAATTCCGAAACCTTACTACACATCTACATGACCTAACCAACCATCTCCCAAAAGATGATTAGGCTGCTGAGTAAAATGTAAGAGGAGGTCAGGGAAGATGGGGCTTTTTGCATAAAAAATGTCATTTTTCGACCCCCATTTGACCCCCCGGGGCAAAATCTAAATTCTGAAACCTTACTGCACATCTACATGACACCACCAACCATCTCCCAAAAGATGATTAGGCTACTGTGTAAAATGTAAAAAGAGTTCATGGAAGACGGGGCTTTTAGCATAAAAAACGTCATTTTTCGACCCCCATTTGACCCCCTGGGGCAAAATCAAAATTCCAAAACCTTACTGCATATCTACATGACACCACCAACCATCTCCCAAAAGGTGATTAGGCTGCTGAGTAAAATGTAAGAGGAGTTCAGGGAAGACGGGGCTTTTTGCATAAAAAACGTCATTTTTTGACCCCCATTTGACCCCCCGGGGCAAAATCAAAATTCCGAAACCTTACTGCACATCTACATGACCCCACCAACCATCTCCCAAAAGGTGATTAGGCTGCTGAGTAAAATGTAGAAAGAGTTCAGGGAAGAAAAGTGTGACAGACGGACGGACGGACATGAGTAACAACAATATACCCGAACTTTCTTTAGAAAGTGCGGGTATAATTATAATACTCTATCAGACTCTATATCGTTAAACATTAAAGAATTCAGCAAAAAAAAAACTGTTGATCACGAACCTTCCTTTCTGTGTTTAATAATTGCTATGACGCTAGCTCAACTATCTTTTTTAAAAGATAAACTTGCTGAGACTATCTGGTACCGCTTGCAGGGTGGCTGACAGGAGTTAGTTGTCCCTGTACCTTCAGTCACTTGCCCCTGTTTGTCTTTCATGAGTCAGTTTACATATTTTTAAATTTTAAGTCCGTCGGATGGGACATTAAATGGTGCCCCGTGTCAAGGATAACAACCCCCTTGGCACGTAAAAAATCGATTCTCTGGAGTTCGAAAAAGAGTAGGCCCATTGGGGCCGTCAGAGAAACCCGAAAAACTTCCAAACTGAGAAGTTTACTTCAACCATCGAGATATGGCTGAAATATTGCCGACTCGGCGTTAAACAATATAAAATCAATCAATCTTTCATGAGTCGTACCTGGAATAGTAACGACATTGTAAATCTTTTGTTAGAAGAGATAGAAAAAGATAACAAGATGCCCACGGGCTTTATAGGTCACCTGAGTATCATACTTTCCAACAATTGGAATTGTACATGTAAGGTTCGTGTTTAAAACCAGAGGCCATGAAATTTACAATTTAGAAAGAGGCACGTGCACGATTGCTTATCATACCTATAAACTTCGCATATTTACTTTGATTACTTAATACCCAGAGGTAGACCAGGGAAACAAGAGAAAATGCATTTCCACTTTATAACCAGTTGTGCACCCCGCCCCACAGGAACCACTGACCCTGGGGTCACATATTTCAAAATTTTGACATTTTACTGTAAATTTTATTTCATCATAAATGATTGAGTACTACCAAAGAGCAGATTTCAAAGAATTTATATATTTTAAGACTATTTAACCCCACCCACCTTAGTATCCCTGATCCAGGGGCCTTGAAATTAACAATTCTGGAAAGTGCACCTTTCTTCATCATAAATATGTACTTAGATCATTGGCATATTACCCAGGAGCAAAAGAAAAGATTTTCAAAGTACCAGAACACATGACCCAGGGCCCTGAAATTCACAAATTTGGAAGAGGCATCCTTGCTCGTAATAACTATATTGCATTGGTTTAATACACAGGAGCAGAGAAGAAGATTTTTTAAGAAAGTAGTCTGATCAATGTCAGGCCCTACTATTTCACTTCGTTCATAGGGTCTGAAGAACTCTCAAAAGGGCCAATCTCTGAGTGACATTTGAGATAACAAATCAGCTTATCGCTTACGATTTCTCTAAGCGCATCAACATATTCGGAACATTTCTAGGTTAATCCAGATTTATAGAAAACATCCGAGGGATATCGAGTACGACAAACATGGCCGCCTCCATGAACACAAGTGGTGTATTTACCTCAAGAAGGACTTATGATATAAGATAGCTGTGTACTGTGTGGATTTTCGTTAATAGTGAAAGAACAAAGTGACGGAACTGTTAAAGTAACTAAACACCTCAATAGGAAACTAAGACTTTCACAGGAAAAAATAAACACTATAATACGTTGTAGGCCGTACTTCGATTTACCCAAATGGAAATCAAATGGGAACCAAATGGAATATTTAAAAATATGAATTTTTTCTTATTCAAAATGATGAAAAATATGAACTTACAAATAGAATTTAATAATTATTTGTTTCTAATATTGTATTTTGAGATACGAATTATTTTTTGATAGTACCCTATATATCGGCGAAACTATTGGGAGGGGGAGGCATGGCCTCTCGTGCCCCCCTCCCCGGCTCGGTTCCTACTGCCATGGAAACTATGTATTCCATGATGTGCAAATGTTATTACAAATAGAAAAAAATACGCTTTAAGAAATTAATATTGTTAAAATATTCTCCTTTTTTAAGTTCATTTTTTTCTCAATATTTTAAATAAGTCACAACTTGAAAATGCGATAATAAATATATTCAATATTCCATTTGGGTCCATTTGAGTTTCCATTTGATTCCATATGAGTTTCCATCTGGGTCCAAATCGACGCATCCGTTGTAGGTGATATACTTGTAAGTGACATCAGTTCAAACGGCGTTTGTGTTAAATATTTCCGAGCGAGTACTTAAACTCGAAAAAAAAAAAGCTAAGAAATTAAAAGATGCACTTTTTACCAAAAATGAACTAGTTGATGTAAATTTAGATCGGAGGAACGTAGAGAAACGACTGTTAAAAAGTCCTTGGACATCACAACCATTTAAGATATCATCGGTAATGGAAACAAACTCAAGTTTTCCTGTATCTGTCCGAACATTACCACTGAGTCGCTTGAAACCATTTTCTGACATCACCAATAGTTTTGGGACATTTGTTACTTGGTCATTAATTTATCAAAGTAAACATTGTTGAACTAGTGCGATAAGGTAATAATTAAAATATATGAAGTTATATTACTAGTTTTAATACGTCATATATATTAAAAGGATTGTGAGCATGGTACAAATATTGATTTTTTTTTATCCTATTACTGTACCAATATGTAATATCTTATTTATATAAAATTAATACAACCTGATAAATTAAAAGGGAAAAAGATCACTTGTCATGTATATGCAAGTGTTCATGTCATAAAAAAATAACATACTTTAAGAGATTTTCTAAGAAAAACCTTGACAACAAATTAAATTTGATTAATCATTCCAGTGGATAATTATTAAAATTTGACATAATCAAGCCGGTCGGTTTTTCCATAATACATGCGACTGATTGGACAGAAAAATTGAAAACTTCATATAAATACGGGGTTTCAATTGTTCCCTGGCATCCTTTTCTGTGTTCTACAGGAGAAACCCATTGAAACCGACATGGCAACCAAGGCTTTAGCTTTTCTGCTCCTTGCTTGTTGTCTGGCATTTTCAGTTGATGGTAAGTAGAACTTTTCTAGCAATATTTTTTTGTAAAGATTAGAAATTGTATTTCTGGTGCTGTTCTACACGTAGGATAAAGGTTCAATACTTACAATTAGACTTCTCACTCCGATTCTAGATTTAAAAGTGTCGCATCCTCGCAGTGCATATGAAAAAGATTGGTGATATAGTTTTTAAATATGGTAAATTTGTTAAAAATAATTTTAAATTCTCTAAAACAAAACAAGACGTAAAAAAATTTAGGTTTACGTATCTTCGCAGTACATATGAAAAAGATCGGTGATATAATAGTTTCAAAATATGGTAAATTTATTAAAACAATTTTTATAAATTCTCTGAAACAAAACGAAATAAATATGTATAGAAATTCTATAGTATCATTGAAATTCTATATTATCATTGAAAAACAAAAATAAAGTGGGTTGTTGACGCCATTTCTTCCTTATAAGCTGCAAATTCACATAACTGTTCCAAAGTGGTCAATGACCAACAATACAAAATATTCTGAAAACTTCCTTTATTTTTTTTTCTCAAACAATAAAATTATTTATTGTATTTCAACAGGTATTATTTCTATCAGCATTTTGAACAATTTCATGACACGCAATAATATCTGGTAATAAACACAGCTCTGTGGACATCCTAGTACTCTGGAATATTGTAGATCACTTTTTCTAAAATTGTTTTACCTTACATACATGATTAATGAATTAAGCATAGATCCGTAGCATTCACAGAATTAACCCCCCCCCCCAAAAAAAAAAAATTAAAAAAATTAGCGGTTCCTCTGATTTGAGTAATAACTCATTGGAATTTACGACTTAACATAAACTGTCTCGTTAAAAATATTTTCTCAAATGTGAACCCCAAGGCATGCCTGAGTTGTTCAAAAAATTACGAATCAATTTCTTTTTGAAATGATCGTAATTCTCAACCTGAAATTTTTACTTCTTTTACAGCATTTCGATATCAACAATGTCCAAAGGGAAGTCTGCAAAGTGGAATTTGCAGTCCACCTTACTGGAAGTGCCATGGTTGGTATGAAACCTGCATTCCCGTCAGCAAATATTACGGAGTTTGCTGCAAGAGAGTGCACTGTGAGTTGTTTTTTCTCAACTTTTTCTCCCTTCACCTCGTCTTAACATAAAAAAAAAAACATTTCACTTTATTTACAGAACGAGGGCGCTTCTAATTTGGATTCGGCAAGAATCTGGGTGAAGTTTAAATTTTCAATGATGCAACACATGATTTATACGCATTATATTGATGAATATGGTTGTTTTGTTTTAGGAAAGGCAAATATTTTTACCCTACATGTATATAGTGTTTTGATTTGTTGTAATATGTATTGAATTATGGCTGGATAGTGTTTTTTCCGCTCTTTACAAAATGTTATTTTTTTATACGTTTTTTATACAAATTATCTCTGGGTTATGGCTCTACGATTTTAAAACGGAATTTTGTATCTTTTTAAAAAGTTTAACTCTATGAAAAGAACTAACATGTGTAAAACTAGTATTTATAAAAAAAGAGAGGGGGAACGAGAGAGAAAACACTGGAACCACCTATAAATTGACTTTAAAAACACAGTGCTATAATGTGCCTTAAAAAGTCCACTTGGGTTATTAGGAACCACCAAGATGCAGTTGCACCAATTATGTTAGATATTTGCGGGAACGTCATCGTATAAATGGTTAACCATTGAAGTGATTTAAGCAAGAGTTGTTTCCCTATGGCCGCCATGCTGTTGGTCAACATTACCAGATTCTTCATTATTCAACCAAGTTCAATTTTTATTATTTTAGGCACTGAGGTAAATGTAAATTGTTTTCCTCAGGATAAACCTTTTTAAGGCCTCTTTTAATTCTTAATTTCAAAATTGTAAATATTTTTTCCCATATATTTCTGGAATGCATGTTTAAAATTGATTGCCCAAAGAGGAAACTTTACTCATTTGCCATACAAGATGGCGGTCAAGGGGAATTACTCCGAGGCATAATACGTCAAAGGAAAACCATGTATTATCGTGCTTATCCTCGATTGGTGAAATAATGATCCCATAACATGTCCCTCTCCTTTTTTCTCGAAATTCTATTGTCTTCCGCCGAAACATGGCTGAAAAATTGGCGTTAAACAATGTACAATCAATCAGTATTGCATTTTCATCCTACGACATGTATGTTGTCAAATTAGCAGAGAATTTGAAATAGTTGTGTATAAAATTATTGTTTGAAAGACTTTGTTTTCTTTTTGTAGATCAAGGATGGTATTGAAGCGTCCTCTGATGGGTTTCCGATGAAGAATTATTAAAATAAAAGCAACGAATCACCGCAATCTTTTGTTTGTTTTTTTTTCACTTTAGTTATACAACAAATTTACAGATTCTATAAAAGTTCCATGGGTCACAACTCTCACCAAAATAAATATTACCAATCCAGATTCTTTTTTCTTAATGTTCTTTTTTCTTTATAAAAATATGATCACCATTCTAAGACTTATTTATGCTTTGAACTAACAAAACTTGAAGCTACACAACTTCAGGGTGTTTCCTTGAAACAATAATCAAAGTATTCCTGGTCTTGAGGATTTTATCCTTTTCCCATGTATTCTGATTACCCAATTTGGCTTAAACCTACCTCTCTGGGTCATACAATCATGTAAATTGAATAAACTTAAACATGTACAACCTGTGAAGACTTTTTTAAAGATGACTGATCATGACCTTGCTGGTCTTGAAAAGTTTTTCTTCTGTATAAATGTTTGATTGCCCACGATGGCCTCCTCACCTTAACCCTGGGGTCATAATTTAAACAAATTTAATCATACCCTTCATCAAAATTCTGCTATAAAATGTTATCATTTATGACTAATCCTGGCTTTTGTGTTTGAAAAGATTTTTATAATGCTAGTTTACTTGCGCAGAATTTATTAGTAATTGGTTCCAAAGCCTTTCCCCAGCAGGTCATATAACTTTTTATCGGTACTGAAGAATATGGCTTTTAAAAAGATTTTACGATGCATTGTTGTGTACTTTTTTGATTGTCCATTATATCGTTATCCTACCCCTAGGGTGTAAAGATGCGTACAAATTTGAATGTACAGTTTAGCTGCACATGTTCCCCAGGATGCTTCGATATAAATGTGACTGAATACCGCTTTCGCTTTTCTGTAGTCAGAATGATTTCTTTCTATATGCACATTCATGTAAAAATTTGATAGGCCATAGTAACCAACCCTTCCCTAAGATCAGGCCCCGGTGCCACGAACGTTTTATTTTACTCAACTCAAATTTTAGTTTAACTCAAAGTTTTAACTCACCTGAGTTATGTCTCAAGAAAGTGTGCCCGAAAGTTAAAACAACACAACTCCGCTTTTTTATGATGTTAAGTAGCCTTGGCAATGTACAATGTTTACCTTCGCTATAGTTAGCTAGTTGTATTTGATTCTTTTCTGATTTTTACCCAAGGCAGGGATACCTAATAAAAAAAATATAAATCTAATCAGTGATTGAGAAAAATTGTTTGTCATTTTATCATTATTAAACAAGGTAAGCGTTACGAACTCAATTACACATTACATTATTTGGTGGCAGCGGTGTGTGCTTCCTTGTTTTGTTATTGCTGACTAATTTTATTGTTTTACATTCTACATTTGATTTTATTGCATGCCAAAGGTAAATTGTTTGACATGGGGTCTTGCGCAAATGATTTGATTGAAACTGAAATATCATTTCTCGAAGAGGAAATAAATAGATTAGAATTTGAATTGACAAGGGATAGGCACTCAACACCTTTAGTTGAGCGTCATGTAAAATACATACAAGTCATAGACATTTGGCAGCCATACACCTCGCCAAAATGTGATGAGCGGACTGAATGATACAGGAGCAACAGTTTCCATTGTGTCTAAGGGCATGATAGCCAATGTTTTGTCACACAAACCACTGAAACAATTAAGTACAGATATCTTAATAGCAGATGGTCACACCACTGAAAGTGTATGGTACACAAGAAATGAAGTTTTCCATACAGAGTATGGACTTTGAACATGCTATGGTAGTTGCCGATTCAAGTGTTGATGGAATATTAGGTTTAGATTTTCTAAGGGCACATAAATGTTCACCAGACCTAGATAGTTGTTTGCTGAATTTTGGTCATATAAAAAAGTCAACTCCTTGTCAATACAAGGGAAAATTGGTTGCTTCCGAGTAACATTGCGTGAAGATCTGGGGATACCTCCAAAGAGTGAAGTTTTGACTTATTGCGATGTCCATTACCTGGATAACCAAAGTGATTCCAGATTCTCTGAAGCAGGCTTATTAGTAAGCAATGCAATGATTCTGATACAGCATATGTAGCAAGAACACTTGTAACCTGCAACAAAGAGAGCAAAGTTAAAATGCATCTTATGAACGTACACAATGAGGTAACACATTTAAGGAAAGGCACATTCATTGCTGAACTGAACTCGGTTCAAAATGTTTTGACAGCGACCACGAGCAAAAGGGCGGCAGATTGCAAAGAAAATTTAGAACTGCCATATCATTTGCAAGATTTATATGTAAGGTCAAGTACAGGTATGTCACCGGAGAACAAGCGAGCTGTACTTCAATTACTGTTACGTTACCAGTCATCTTTTGCAAGGTCTGACCGAGATTTAGGGAAAACCAACATTATTAAACACTAGATTAGTACTGGAGACAACCCACATATCAAGCAACCTCCAAGGAGAATACCTGTGCATATGCAAATGGAGGTGGACATGCATGTTAGTGATATGCTACAACGAAATATCATCGAGCTTTCAAATAGTCCATGGGCGTCGAATATAGTGTTGGTAAAGAGGAAAGACGGTACCGTCAGGTTTTGTATAGATTACAGAAAGCTGAATAAAATCACGCAGCCTGATGCATATCCTTTGCCAAGGATAGATGATTCTCTTGATCAGCTTAGTGGTGCTACTTGGTTTTCTAAGTTAGATTTATGTTCAGGGTATTGGCAAGTGGCTCAACTCTCAAGACAAGCAGAAAACAGCTTTCACAACAAGAAGATACTTGTATGGATTTTTAGTGATGCAATTCGGCCTGTACAACGCGCCAGCAACATTTGAACGTCTTATGGAAACAGTGATGCGCGGTTTGAAATTGGAAATCTGTCTGATTTATCTTGACGACATTATAGTCTTTAGAAGGAATTTTGAAAATATGATACAAAATCTCTCACGAGTGTTTGACCGTCTGGAAGAGGCAGGTCTGAAACTAAAACCGAAAAAGTGTACTCATTTTGCCAGACAAGTTGAGGTTTTGGGCCATGTTGTATCTTCAAATGGGATAGCTACAATTGCAGATAAGACCAAAGCAATTCAAGATTGGAATACGCCTTCTAATATTACAGAAGTAAGATCCTTTATTGGTCTTTGTAGTTATTATAGGAAGTTTGTCAAGGATTTTGCCTCTATTGCAAAACCTTTGCATGACTTGAAATCCAAGGAGAAACCCTTTAAATGGACAGAGGAATGTCAGATTTCAGTTGACAAGCTTAAACAAATTTTGACATCTGAACCAATTCTTGCACATCCAGATTTTTAAAAAAGATTTTATCTTAGTCACTGATGCGAGTGATAAAGCCATTGGTGCTGTACTTTCGCAGGTAATTGATGGCAAGGAGAGAGTCTGTGCGTATGCAAGTAGGTGCTTGTCAAAATCTGAACGACGTTATTGTGTTACCAGAAAGGAACTTTTAGCAGTGACACATTTTGTCAAGTACTTCAAACATTACTTGTATGGCAGAGAATTCCTTGTAAGGACAGATCATAGTTCTCTCAGGTGGTTAATGCAATTTAAAAACCCTGAGGGACAGTTTGCACGTTGGATAGATATACTATCAACTTACAATTTCAGAACTGAACACCGTCCAGGGCGTTTACATACAAATGCAGATGCACTGAGCAGGCTTCCATTTGGTTATCACAGTACACTTGAAAATGAGGAGTCCGATGTAAATATTTGTAACCAGATTGAACAATGTCAGTCACTGCAAGTAGCTCAGAAAAATGATAATGATCTGCAGAAGTTACGTGAATGGATTGAGGAAGGCTCCTCTCCTGGTTCTAAGAAAGTGGCACCAGAAAATTATTCTCTTAAGTCACTAGTTTCTCAGTTTGACAGACTGTGCATTAAAGATAATCTAATCTGTCGAAAGTGGGATGAATTGGCATCAAAGCAGACACTTTATCAGTATGCTGTCCCATACTCTGAGCGCCGTAATGTTCTTAGACAATACCATAACGAAAAAACTTCAGGTCATCTTGGTATTAAGAAGACATTGTCTAAAATTCGCAATAGGTATTACTGGCCTGGTCTGCAGCGTGATGTACAACAGTGTATAGCTGGTTGTGAGCTTTGTTCTAAAAGGAAGAGTGACAATGTGACCAAGTGTGCACCCATGAAGGTAGTACATTCTGGTTATCCTTTTAAGAGAATAGCGACAGACATTTTAGGAGAGCTGCCAGTCACAAAGAATGGAAACAAATACATCCTGGTGGTTGCAGACTATTATACTAAATGGACAGAAAGTTTTGCAATGCCAAATATGGAAACAAGTACGTTTGCAAAAATCATAGTAGAAGAGGCGATACATGTATGTCGATTTGGTACACCAGCGGTCATCCACTCAGACCAAGGTAGGCAGTTTGAAAGCAAACTGTTCTCGGAAATGTGTACTTTGCTTGGAATTCGAAACACACACACAACGCCATATCATCCCCAATCGGATGGTATGGTGGAATGTTTCAATCGGACCCTAACAACTATGCTCAGCAATTTTGTTAATGATAATCACACGGATTGGGATGAGCATTTACCTTATGTCATGATGGCATACAGGTCAACAATCCATGAAACCACTGGTTTTTCTCCAAATTCATAGATGCTTGGAAGGGAGATTTGCAGTCCTTTAGACATCATGTATGATGATGTACCCTCTGCTATTAACCCAGTACCTCAAAATAAATGGGTTTGGGAACTGCAAGAAAGACTTGAAAATGCACATAAAATTGTACGCACAAATACACAACAAGCCATGGTTCGTCAGAAACATTATCATGACAGAAAATTGAATTCGGCAAAGTTCAAGGAAAATGATGAGGTTTACGTTTACTTTCCTAGAACTAAGAAAGGACAGTGACCAAAATTCACGAGTTATTGGCGTGGACCATACAAAATCATTAAGGTAATGTCTGATGTAACGTACCTGGTGAATTGCGGAGCACGTTGGTCAAATCAGGTCATACACGTCGACAGAATGAGACTGAAACGACATCAAACATTATTTGGAGAAACTCCAGATGCTGTAGAACAGAGA